TTTCTATACGTATATATATATATGTAAAACTGATATACGCAGGTAACTGCACTTGCCTGTCATCAATATCTTTGACTGTTATGACACGTTTGAATACGTCCACCAACCACTGTGGTTTCAGTACAATAGTGTTCTGCAGGGAGTCATCCATGGCACCTGTACCACCGTAATATATAATAACACCAAGATCATGGTAGAACTGCAACATTGTGTTCAAACCTTCATCTGTAGTGATACCCAATTCATTACCAAGCTCTATAGCCTATGACAGACACAAATGTATTTGTTATGTTACAAGATTTTGTATAATGTATTATGAACGATGCCATCATAACACGATATAGCTTTAAGAATACAGGTAATTAGTGTTCAACTCAGACTGTATTTGATCGTGTCCTTGGTTATTCGTTTGTCTCTTGCGAGTTGCACACCCTATTTCATGAAGCATTCGTAGCACAGTTATACATCAGATTTTAATGAATCAGCATACAATTTACGCATTTCTTGGGTTTATGGATAAAAATTGGCAGCTGGAAGTCCTTAGTAATTACCAATGTAACCAGATGTTTCGTACTGCACAATGGTTATTTGCTTACTGATGTGTTAATACCACAACCTTTCATAATATTCAACTCTTGTCAGATAAATTTGAATCTTGCTTTACCTGATTACGAGAGAGGTAATAAGTTTTATTCTCAGTGTACTCAGCAACTTTCTTTTCAAATTTCAACCATTTTATTGGCATCTGTTCTCCCATGTATTTTTCTTTACTGGCCACCTCCTCTATGTGACTCCGAAGTTTACCAATCTGAAAGAAAGTTATTCAAATAAGAACAAACTTTAGTATTTACATGATAATTTTTAACATGCTGACATCCACAATACATGCTTAATGTTGGGAAACAAATTTCCTTCATTTAGAATACTAAAAAAGAAATTCCCTATCTGGAAAACAAATGGCTCTTTTTGAGAAAATATATCCCACAATGCATCACTAAAAACATTCATTTACAGTTCACATGAAAATTATAAAAAAATTTTAAAAAGACCGATTTTTTTGAAAAACAATGGCAGTATTTGAGAGGTAAAACAACCACTTCTTACCTGCTCATCTTCTGTATCTTCTAGGTTATTTTCTACCGCATAATATTGGTTTACTATATGCATCTTATATGGCTTCCCCTTTAAACTCTCACGAATCCTTCGAAATTTGCTCTCTACCTGTATACAGAAATTATCTGAAATTAATTTTCTCTTAAATTTGTACACAATCTGCTCTCTGCTTTTAAAACGCATAATCAGAATTACTTTTAATTTAGGCAGTGTATTAGGTTCCAAACGCTTTGATATTCAGTGGAGATAAATATCATCAAATGTCACAAGCATCAGTTAAAAAAATTGTGGGTGTTTTTGTTTTGGAGAATTTAAGAATAAATGAAATAAAAATTTAAGTTTCATGAAAAATCAAAATAATAGCAGAATTTGTAAACCAAATTGATTTGATTAGATTTTGATTTTAAATGGAATGGAACACCAGAGAATACTTACTATCTTCTGCCTGACTTCAGGATCAGGATCCAAACTGTTCTTATGTGTTCCTACGATGAATATTGGTGGTGATAGCGTTTCATCTTCCAGACTATTTAGTCGATTCTGTGCTGTGTGTGCATGAATTGAACTCATCCAGAAATCTATAAAATCTAGATTTGACAACTCACTTTCCTCAAAAACAACCTAGAAATGACAGTTAACAATGATTAATGACAAAATTCATGACATAGCAAGTTTCTTTCAATTTGTTTTCAGGTTAGGTGGTCTAAAACAATAATTCAAAATGTTAAGGGGTCTATGGAGGAAATATCAAATTAAATGCATTTTGCCTAAACATATTTAAAGAAGCTGGAAGGTCAAATGAAAAAAATATCATGAGCTTGAGAAATCATAAATAACCATAGTCTATGCCCCCTCCCCCAGACAAGTTTTCATATTTAATGTTAAAAGAGATCACGCAATGACCAAATCACAGATCATTTGTACTAGTAAGTCTTGACTTTTAACAAAGTTTATAATTTAATGTAAGTTTACAATTTGAAGTAAAATATGTTTTTGACTGAGCTTCTGTTACAAAGTCTCACAAGGAAACAACAGGGTGCATATTTTTTCCCATGTTCAAACAGAAACAATTTTAACACTTGAAAGAAGCAGTCTACAGTCTACTCACACTGAAAAAGTGTTTAGTTTCTGGTGGCAGACCTTGTCAATGACTTATAACGTCATGTGAACCATTCTACACTTTGTGCACAACGTATTTTCTGTCCCAAAAATCGCAACCCTAATCCATTTTTTTGAGTAATGAGCGGAAGAGATATCAGGTTGAAACAAAAAAATGACAATGCTGGTAAGGGTATAAATTTGGATTACAATTCATCCTTCCACCTCCTATTACATTGTATCTTCCTACACAGTTACCTACTAAGTATTTGAAGGTACCAAATAGTCATTTCAAAAAGTTTTTTTATTTATTATTAATGAAGTTCATATTACAAGAGTATCAAAACTCATTGAAAATAATACCAAGAAAAAAAAAAATGGGCCTTCATCGATGCTGAAACAGAATAAAACAATTCAGACATCTTTACCTCTCCTCCATCTCCTCGTCTGACTTGTGTTTGTGCTGGTGCATCCAAATCATGTGAAAGATTAAATACAATAATATACACTGCTCTTGAAGACAAAAACACCTGTAAGATATAACATAGTTAAACTGTCAATGCCTTGCCCATCACAATACATACATAGCACCTATAACATATGACAAAACTGAGATGCAGGGAACTGCCACAAAAACAATACAAGACTGTTACACTAGAATTACATTACATTCACAGTCATAGTCATAGTCAAAATTGTCATGTTTACAAAATACTCAAAATATACTTGTTTTGATGTCAGTATTGGTGTTATATATTGCATACTTTTTCTAACATTGAATTGGGAGAATATCACATAAAAGAATAAATATTGGCATTAACAATTTGGTATTAGTTTACCATTAAAAGACTCACTTTATCATAATTTTCAGAAAAGACTTTATATTAGGATCTTGTTTCAGATCTACCACAAAAGAAAACTGATAATAGAGAATTTTGATAATTTTAGAAGGGGAAACAAATGGCTGTTTGTGGAATTGATAGGAATACTGAATTTTCTCTCGGTTAGGGATGGTTCATTAATTTAAAACAATGCATGTACAAAATTTGCTTGACAATTTTGTTGGTAAATTGTTGGCTGTTGATTAGGGTTGACTTCTGATGTGAATATTTGAAGCTGAAGAACAACATACACAGTGCCCTCCACAGTATCGGTTAATTTACATAATACTAGAATATGTTAATCACCGTTATTGTATTCATTGTTATGCTAAATTGGATCTATTGTTTATCCCAAAATTAAACAGTTGGGAACCCCCACTCTGTAATGCCCTGGGAAGAACTCTGAATACTAAATGCAGGAATGCTTGATTTTGATGAATTTTTAACATTAGAATGTACATCTATCCACTATGAAACTCCGCTAAGTTTTAATTAAGCCACCCCTACCCAAATAATGGTCCATCCTTTACTGTACCTGATGCGTTGTATAGTAGACGGCCTGCCCAGCAAAATCCCAAATATTAAGGACAATCTTTTTCTTAGCAGCCTCTTGTTTGTCCATCAACTGATCTTCATCCTTCTCAGCCTCGTTCAACATCTGGGTAACTAGATGTACAATCTTATCTGACATGTCTTTAAGTAGATCCTCATCAACATCTTTGGACTCAGATTCTTGAATATCAATTGACTAGGAAATAGAAATTCAAAAATTAACTCTTTTAGTCAACTTTTTGCTACCATTCACCAAAACAATTTTTTTTTATATTTAAAAGTTTTGATTCAATTTGTCCAAAATTAACCAATAATTCTGTGAAAAAAAATATATGAAATGTTGTCAAGAAAACATATGGCATTTAAACCTTTATGCACCATATTTTTCCACCATATTTTGATGTTACGCATGTTGCCTATTTTGTTTTTTTCAACAAAAATTTTCTATATCAAAAGTTTTAAACAAATATGAAAAAGGTTACAGATTTAATTTTGTGAATGGTGACAAAGTTGACTTTGGCATTCAAAGTGTTAAAAAGTAAAGACGAATGTAGATGGTTTGAAAATCTCTGAATTTCTAAATTGTAAAGTTTTGTGAATTTTATTAAATATTAAAACAAATTTCTGAATTGTAAACCTCAAAGTTGTGTGAATTTTACACAATTTTAAACCACAACAGTTGTAAGTGAAGAGCAAATTATTACTATAGGGAATTCACAATATTGTTTTCTCCATGGAAACAAGTTGGTATCCCATATTTTTTAGTTACTAGCATATAAAAACAATCTTACAACCAAATTAAATGTTTTCATGACTACCAGTACATGTGTTACATATCTCAATTAAACAAAATTAAATAATAAAAGCATGATCAACATGCCATACTATACTAATATAATCTTAGATTCGGAACATTTCAAATGTAGATTTCACTTGTGGTGCATGCATTGTAAACATTTGAAAACACCTCAAACATTCGAAATCCTCACCCCTACCCCAATTAAACTGAGATGTCTAGGAGAATAAAATATTTTTGATTTGTTGAAGGATGGTAATCACACACAACACAACACAACAGCACAGACTTATGTAGTATAAAAGACAGGTTTTAATTCCTTGAGTGTCATTATATTTCCCACCAATTATTTCGGTGCAACATTTTGGTCATTTTCATGTATTTTCCTAATATTTCTTTGTTTAATTTTTGACCAAAAGGATGTTGTTTACAATTTGCTTTGATTTTGATCAAAATTGTTGATAAATTGTTGAATAATATTAGGATTAATATCAATGATAGAAAGGTTTTTTTAGCCCACTATGGAAACAGAACTCTCGCAAAAATTAATCTCCATAAACCTCTAGTTTCCTAGGTTACAACATCAATAATACTTACCTCAGATTTATTGGAATCTGTTTGTGATACATTTTGATTTTTTTTATTCTTTTTATCAGTTGCATCGGTCTTTTTTTTCAACTTCTCTACCTCATTTTCTTTATCATCTTTGTTTTTACGCTTCCGTAATAATAGTTCCTGTACAATGTTATTAGCGATGGCCCTTGCATACTCTTCTTCAAGCCCCTGTGGTCCATCAAGAACACCTTTGTTTTCATCAGCTTCATCTTCCTTATGAAGCTTCCATGCCTCATATTTCAGTACGTTAATTTCACAGGCATCATTTGTATCTATTCCATCTGTGCTTTCCTCTGCAGAATCGTATCTGTGGAAAGTAAAAATCCCATAAATAATCAATATATGTATTTCCAAATTCAATGTCACTATGGCAACCAGGATGTTTGTATTTTTTCACCCTAAGGCCAGACTATTTTATTCCTTGTTTCTCGATTTTTTATAAGGCAATTTTTTTGAGGAGGGCGGAAAAAAAAATTAATTCTTTTTTCTATTAGATTTGTGTGATTCTCAAAGAATTGTAAGTGAGATCATTGATCGGAGAGAAGAAATGAAATAATATTTTATTCCATGTATAACCTTGGTTCTCATCTGCGCAAGACTTTGATCATGATACTCTCACGAAAATGCAACTTGGGTTTGTTATGCGGCGGGCGGAAAAAAATGAAGATAAAAATAAGTTTTTTTTAGCAAGTCGACGGGCGCGAGAAATTACGCTGAAATAAAATTTTATTTTTATTTCATTTTCGGCTTCTGTTCGCGAAACAAGGGATAATAAAAGTCTGGCTGAATTATCAAATAATCACTCAAAATTCCAGGTGTCTCAACAGAAATACCTCCTTACCTCATATACATATTCATGTAATGTACATATAAAACAGTGCATGACTAAGGGGTTGGTGTTTTATAAAACATAAGCCCAGCATAATGTAATTTACTCATTTAACACTAGAATCATGAAAGTGGAAAATATACATCAAAATCAATTTCAGGTAATCTTGGCCACTAAGAAATGATGCCAAAATTATCTAAAACAATCCCAAAAAACTTAAAAATAACCAAAATGTTGCAACAAATTGTTGAAGAAAAAAATAATGGCGCTTGAAGGATTAATGTAACCTGAATACTTTGAACGACAAGCAATAAGATTCAGAATAAAAATATTTCTGATCATCAAGTGCCAGATAAAAATTTGCACTTTTTTATGGCTTCTGTCAGAATATTGGAAGAAATGAAACAAAAAATTCTTCATGAAAATTCAAAATGCATGTGATATTAATTCTATGGTAATATTGAATAATATTTGAAAGAAAAACACATGCTTTCACATGTTGATGTTAGAAATCAAATTGCAGATTTTTTAATGTTTTTTAATGCTATAGGGAGACATCTGTACTTGTCATGTACGTCTTAATCATCCATAAAAACACTCATTTTATTATGGTTTATCGCTTCATAAAACCTCTGATAATTCACCTTTTAGTATTGCATACATACGTATTACCTTCAAATCTATCAATCTTGAGAGAATAGCAGTTAATTCACATGTAGAACAGTGATTGATTATCTTTGAGAATGAAACCATGACACATTTTTTTTTGTAACATACAGTTCTTGATCGAGCATAAGGAAACAATTTCACATGATTAAGAGGTATCTACTGCTTTCAGAGATAACAGGACACACACGTATTAACCAGCTGACTTGCAATCACACACCATCATTTTAACAGGTATCTACTGCTTTCAGAGATAACAGGACACACACGTATTAACCAGCTGACTTGCAATCACACACCATCATTTTAACAGCCGGAATCTCATCATTAGGTATCTATATTATCGTCATTACTGTCAACTGTTGAATAGAGTCACCACATAAATAAACCATTTCTTAAAAATGATGTTGCCATGGAAACTATCCTAAAATCTTTTGACCTTTCTAAATCTGAATAGTGCTCAATTCATTTAGTTCATATTTCAAAAAAAGTACCAAAAATTAGAATAATAGTAAAATTTTATAATCGCAGCTTTTTTTTTCCCCTCCAGCCATGAAATGAAATGAACACAATGGAACATAGCCTACTACATGTACATGCATTCATGATATGATATCTTAGTTTAGGTAATCAATGTTACCATGGAAACATAAATATAACTGTACTTGAGAGTTAGATATCCTAATTTATAGATACATTAACAAAGGAATACATTAACTGTCTAAAAACCATGTATGGATAGATAGACATATTTGGTGGTCATGACAAACCGTTATCTGATCATTATATTTTTTAATTTAATTGATAACATTTTTTTTTAAATCTCTTACCAGAAAACATGATATTTGTTGTATATTTATTTGCCATAAAAAAATTAGCATAACTGGGAGTACCAAGATGGCCGTCCTTGATGTATACATATATATACAAGTTGACATGTGGTTGTAGGTGTGCTTTAATTCAATAAATCCTAATACATTCATTTTCTAACCTTTCGAGGTACTGACTATAACCATAGGGAATGAGAAATGGTTTTTGATTTAAGAGAAAATGTATAAAAAATAATAGATTGATTATTTTTCACCTTAAGGTCATCCACCGACAATGTTGTTTTGTGTCTGACACAACTCAAACGTAATCCAATTTCAACCTGTCAATTTCACTATGAATTAATATTTCATACATATATTCTGCGTGTATAATAAAGCGCTATTGACGTCAACTAAGGGATTAGTTCCAGTGACAGACATGACATTCTATGGTAATAATTGTTTGTCGTCTCAAATGCATTGAGTGTCAGGTTTGTGTGGGGATTATCAGTTTTCACAGTCGTCCTGCAGACAAGCGTGTATGATGTTTTTTTAAATGATTTTCGAGTCATGTTGAGATTTTCTTGACATCCAGTTTTTTAAATCAATTAATAATAATAATTTAATAATATTTTTTTTAAATCACATATTTATTTATCTCTATAAATAAAACCTATACTGTATTCAAATTCAAATAAAATAAATGCTTTGAAATACATATTTGTTTTGTATTTTTGCAGCTAGGAATGTTCTCGCTTTCATATTGTGACCCCAGTGAACATTTTTTTACTAATAAAATTTGTGATTTTCACTGGCTTGTATAAATCATGAATGTATTTCTCTCTTACGGTTAAAGTGGATTAGATATACTATAGAGAACATAGCTTGTATCTTCATGTCAAAGCTTTACAAACATACAGCAAGCAAAAAGATTTTTTTAAATTTTTCCCATTTGAATATGTGTACACAAAATTGTGTTGTCATGGTTACCCCTGAATACACCACAGTTGCTCATATTAGAAACACTTATATACTGACCATTCAAAGAGTAGCATATAAAGGCTAAAAGAAAAATTTTAAATGAGGTGATGATCAAACTAAATAGCGTCAACCGAGTATGTCCCTAGTTGTTCCTGATGAACGTGATAGATTTAACAATATTCCGCATGTGTGAAGATCGCATAGTGTGAACATAACTACGGTAATATAGCAATCAAATCTAAAACATCTTACATGTGTAAGTTTATAACCTTTAACCGTTACAGGTCAAAGTTCATAGTACATGTCATATATATGAAAATAGTAACTGAGTAATAGTAAATTACCTCTGTCCAGTCAATGATTTTTTTAAACTCGTCTTGCCAACTCTGTCCTGTCCAACAAGCATCAATCTTGTTCGGAAAATAGGCTTGGTGCCAGCTTTGGAGGCTTGTAAGAATGCACGCATAGACTCTGGGCCACGTGCCAAAATCTCAGCAGGTGCTTCCTCTGCAAAATAAAATAAATAATTTTAATTTAAACACAGCAATTGCATCTCCTGCTGTTGAAATCACTGATGTTAACAAGTGCATATAAGATACTGACATAGCCTTTTTACAGGATAGTAATAAACAGATATTATGATCAAATCAAGTGTAAATAAGATACTGACATAGCCCTTTTACAGGATAGTAATAAACAGATATTATGATCAAATCTAAAATTGTTGGTTGGTGACATAGGGCGAACAAGATATATTGTGATTGATCGGGAACATTTCATTATACTGTAAAATACTTTATTTTAATTTTTCGCTGATGTTTAGTATGGAGTTTATTTTCACTTTTTTTGATGAGCTGAACGTAAAATACTAGATACACCTTTCAGTGAAAATAGTGAAAGTAAATTCCAAGCAAAAATAAAATAATAAAAGTACTTTATAGTTAATGTACTAATTAAAGCATTTCAAAAATCTGATTATAATATTAATAATAATAATATTACGTTTTTCTGAAAATGAACACTTTTCGAATATTAAGTATTTAGCCAATTTACTC